TTTGATTATTGTAGCTCTGTAATGTAATTTGAAGTCCGGTAGCATCTGACCTCCGGTTCTTTTTTTCTTAGGATTGCTTTGGCTATTTGGGGTCTTTTGTGGTTTCTCATTTTATTTTATTAAAAAATGACATTGGGATTTTGCTGGGCATTGCATTAAATCTGTATATTGCTTTGGGTAATATGGCCATTTTAACTATGTTGATTCTTCCAATCCATGAACACAGGATATTTTTTCCATTTTATTGTGTCTTTTTCAATCTCTTTTAATAATGCTTTGTAGTTTTCAGTATATAAGTCTTTCACGGTCTTTGTTAAGTTTATTCCTAGGTATTTTATTCTTTTGGTTGGAATTGCAAATGGAATTTTTTTTTCCCATTTCTTTTTCTGAAGTTTTGTTGTTAGTATACAGGAAGGCAATGGATTTTTGCACATTGATTTTGTATCCTGCAACTTGACTGTATTTGTTTATTGTTTCTAATAGTTTTTTTGTAGAGTCTTCAATTTTTTGGAAGAGTTTGAGAAGGATAAGTTTTAAATCTTCTTTGAACGTTTGGTAGAATTTACTGGTGAAACCATCTGGTCCTGGACTTTTGTTTTTGTTGTTGTTTTTATGGTTGTTTTAATGTCCTCACTGCTGACTGTTCTATTTAATTTTTTCAATTCTCCATGATTCAGTCTAGGATGATTATATATTTCTAGAAATTTACACATTTCTTCTAATTATTGAATTTGGTGGTGTATAATCTTTCATAATATTCTAGTATCCTTTGTATTTCTGTGATGTCTGTGGTAATTTCTTCTCTCTCATTTCTGATTTTGTTTATATGGGTCTTCTTCCTTTTTTCCTTAGTTAGTCTAACTAGAGGTTTGTCAATTTCATTAATCTTTTCAAAGAACCAGCTCTTTGTTGTATTATTTTTTGTATAGTCTTTTTGTTGTCTATTTCATTCAATTCTGCTCTAATTTTAATTATATCCTTCCTTCTACTGACTTTGGGTTGCTTTTGTTCTTCCTTTTCTAGTTCTATAAGGTGTAATGTTAGGTTGTTTACTTGGGATTTCTCTTGTTTTTTGAAATAGGCCTGTAATGATATAAACTTTCCTCTTATTATGCTTTCCCTGCATCCCAGATGTTTTGACATGTTGTATTGTCATTCTCATTTGTCTCTATATATCTTTTGAGCTCATCTTTTATTTCTTATTTGACCCAGTCATTTTTAGTAGTATGTTGTTGTTTTTTTGTGTTTTGTTTTGTTTTTGTTTTTGTTTCCATTTTATTTATTTATTTATTTTGCTATGAACTCTTTTTTTTTTATTATTGCTTAAAGTATTACAAAGAGTATTACATATGTCTCCTTTTTTTCCCCGCCCTTGACAATCCCCTGGCCGCCCCTACCCCCCAGTGTCTTATGTCCATTGGTTATGCTTATATGCATGCATACAAGTCCTTCGGTTGATCTCTTACCCTCCCCCTCCTGCCCCCCAACCCTCCCCGGCCTTCCCGCTGTAGTTGGACAGTTTGTTCGAGGCAGCTCTGCCTCTGTATCTATTTTTGTTCATAAGTTTATAATGGTCTTTATTATCCATAAATGAGTGAGATCATGTGGTATTTTTCCTTCAGTGACTGGCTTATTTCACTTAGCATAATGCTCTCCAGATCCATCCATGCTGTTGCAAATGGTAAGAATTCCTTCTTTTTTACAGCAGCATAGTATTCCATCGTGTAGATATACCACAGTTTTCTAATCCATTCATCTACTGATGGGCACTTACGCTATTTCCAGATCTTAGCTATGGTGAATTGTGCTGCTATGGACATAGGGGTGCATATATCCTTTCTGATTGGTGTTTCTGGTTTCTTGGGATATATTCCTAGAAGTGGGATCACAGGGTCAAATGGGAGTTCCATTTTTAGTTTTTTGAGGAAACTCCATACTGTCTTCCATAGTGGCTGCACCAGTCTGCATTCCCACCAGCAGTGCACGAGTGTTCCTTTTTCTACACATCCTCTCCAGCATTTGTCGTTTATCTTTTATTTCTTATTTGACCCAGTAATTTTTGGTAGTATGTTGTTTAAGCTCCATGTATTTGTGGGTTTCTTTACTTCCATTTTGCAGTTGATTTCTAATTTCAAGGCATTGCCATCAGAGAATATGCTTGGTATAATTTCAATCTTCTTGAATTTATTGATACTAGTTTTGTGACCTAATATATGGTCTATTCTTAAGAATGCTCTATGTGCACTTGGGATGAAAGGTTCTGTAAATGTCAATTATGTCCATTTGGTCTAGTGTTTCATTTAAGGCCAATATTTCTTTATTTGATCTTTCTAGAGCTGTAAAGGAGTATTGAGATCCCCAACTATGATTGTGTTTTGATCTGTTTCTCCCTTTACTTCTGTGAGTAGTTGTTTTATATATTTCAGTGCTCCCTGGTTGGATGCATATATATTAAGAAGTGTTATGTTTTCTTGATGTAGTGTCTCCTTTATCATTATAAAGTGTCCATCTTTGTCTCTTACTGTCTTTAAATCTATTTTGTCCGATATAAGTATGGCTACATGTGCTTTCTGTGGATATTGCTTGGAGAATCATTTTTCACCCTTGTATTTTGAATCTACCAGCTGAGCCGAGAGTTCCCAGCTGCAGGGCTGCATCTGCGGGCCGGGTGCACTTTCCTCCCTTCTCATCTCCCCATTTATTCCCGGATGCCCGTCTTTTGATGTTTCAATGTGCAGGTCTCTCAGGTGTGTGTCTGTGTTAAGTAGGGATTTCTTTGTTGAATTATAGTTGGTTAACTTGTTGAAATTTCAGGGGGAGAGGACAAGGTGCGCTCTCACATCACTCAACATGAGAGCCTTATATATTCTTTTGTTTTAAAATTTCTAATTTAACTTCTAGTATGACAAATATGGGTGGATATAACTACATTAGTAAAGCTCTATGGAAGTACACACATAGTATGAAGGAGAGGCTAACAGTTGCTTTCAGGATGTGGACTTTGGTGATTTTGCAGTGTGAATATTGAATGCATGACAACTGTGCTGCAGAAGAATGTTTTGCTTTAGAGAGAATCTGGCAAGCCTTTTCTTCATTTCTGAGTGTTCTCTATTAATATGGCATGTGTCCTGTTGATAAATCTAAGTGCTTGGTATTGTTGTTACTGAACCAATAACAAAAGAAAATGTCTAATATTGAGAAAGGCTATTTAAAATTTCCAAGGTCATCCTCATAGCAGAAAATAATCTTTTTTATTAATGACTGCAGTATGCATCCTATAAGGTTTTGCTCTTCCGACTAGCATTTAGAAATATATATTTATTACATTTAACAGTATTTGGAAACACATAGGTTCTCTCTTCCCATGAATTGCAGTCGAAAAATGCTACCAATGCTAAAATTGGCTTAGGGGGGAAACAAAAGAAAAATGTAATTTCACACCTGGTTTGCATATAAATGCCAGGCCACTGAAGTGTCATTTTTACATAGCCAATGGAGACTTTTTTCCACATTTGTAGCCTTCACCTCACTTTGTAAAACATAGGGATTCATTCAACACATATCCAAGCTGTTATTGCCCTGCTTGCCTGAAGGGTTAGCCTAGGACAGAGACCAGGACCTGGAGATTGCTTGTCCTTTGGCTTTGAGATCCAAAGAAAGCTAGAAGTACAAGTTCTGTATTAAATGTTAAACTAAATTCTTTAGTTTTGACTATTAAACTGTTTTAGCTGCATTACTATGTATTTATGGATTATGTAAATCACAACTGAGTTGTACATAGTAAATACTCAGCAAAGAGCTATCAGGTCTGTAAATACAAAGAACGCACCTGCCATCTCCTCTCCCCCTAATCAATAATCAATCAGCATTCTTTGTCACAGAGCCTTAGAAACCTCAGCACAACTAACATCAAGAAGAGCCACATGCAGATGAAAACATATTTTCCACCTTGGGCTTCTGCCATACTACCGATCTAATTTTACCAGTAGAGGCAGCTTTTAATTTTCATATATTTAGAAATAATTAAGATGGAAAAGGTAGAGTAGCAATACAAGTTATTGCTTAAATGTATCCACTATTTCTTCAAGAAAAAAAAATCAAGTGAACTGGAAAAATGAAATTGCATTTCTAAGTTTTCAGTGTTTTGTTTGTACAAACTAGCAAATGGAGTGGGTTTTTCACTTCCAGGCTCAAGTGTCCTGGTGTCTGGACAGTTCCTAGAGAGCTAAGTGATGTCTGGAGCTCTTGTCAGCATAGGAAGTTGAACAAATCCAAATGTCCTGACCTTTAGGTTTATTCCTGGGACCTAATGGAAAAAGTGTGACGCTTTGGAAGAAAGGACTCAAATGCATATTCTGATCACCCTTAATCAAAAGATTGCATGAAAGGACCAAACAGTCCTTGGCAGACAGCCATTTGCCTTCAGAAAAATCTTAGCTATTGAAACACTTTCCTTCCCATTCTGATCAGTATTATTTCTTTTTTGTTGCTCATGAGAATAAAATAGCTACATCCTTTTCACAGGCCATTGAATAAAATACGCTTCTCAACTCTTTTCAGCTGTGTTTCAGACTGTCAGACAAGGCAGTGTTAAAGCCCAATACTCCAGAACATGCTGAGCTTGCTCTGCCCTACCGTGTAGGCTGCTAAAATCCTTGGCATTGGTATACACATCAACTTGGAGTGTTCCTTTGATTTTGTTTGTGTCCTGGGCAATATTGACCAAAGACCTGGCACACAGCGATAGGGTATAACACATGGTCTAGCATATATTCTAACTTAGTGCTTCTCAAACTTTAATGTGTATACAGATTACCAGGGAATCCTGCTAACTTGCAGATTCTGACCTGCTAAGTCTGGGGCAAGGCCAAGAGTCTGCAGTTCTAACAAGCTTCTCTGTGACGCTGTACAGCTGGCCTGCAGATCACACTTTGGCACAAAGTGCTTTTTACTTCTCTGTACTTAAACTGCCCAATTGGTTTTGTTTTCACTCTAACAAGGTGACAAAGACTTCAGGCTTGAGACCAATGGAACCGAGAGATGTCAAAGCAGTTCGAGAATTAACCAACAGTTACCTGAAGCAGTTTCACCTTGCCCCGGTGATGGATGAAGAGGAAGTAGCCCACTGGTTCCTCCCCCAGGAGCACATTATTGACACGTTTGTAGTGGAGGTAAAGATAAGGTGATATGATGGGTCAGAGAAATAGGAAGATACTATATGCCACAGTCCGTTTTCCAGAAAGATCACACCGTGCCATCTTTCCTCTTCCTCCATGACTCACCGCTTCTATACCAGATTTCTGCTCACCCTGCTAGAACCAGGTTTTTTTCATACAGTTTCCATTACTAGATAAAAGCATACTTTTACTACTTATAAATGGGAAATCACTATACTTTTCTGTTGCTACCTGTGTTAATTGCTTTTCTCATTTTGCAAAAAAAAAAAAAGCCAATTTGGATGACCTCCTTTGTGATAGATACATTCCAAAGTTTAATATTCCTTTGGTTTTGCAAAATTGGAACTGAACTGCATTTGGTTAAGATTAAGCCACTTAATTCAACCCTCCTTGTTCAAATGAAGGAAGGAAAAGTAACAGTTTAGATTTTCTAATTATTGGTTAGATGAGTTTAACAGTGATTTTTAAACCATGTTTTCAAAAGCTTAGAATTGGTTGTGCAAATGCTACTTCGCTTAAAAGCTCTTTTGGTGGAAGTAAGGTGAAGTTGAGAAGTTGGGATTTAAACTGGTGAGTACGTGGAGGAGAGAAAGGAGCGAGGAGATACTGTAGCAGTCCATTCACTATTTGTTGTGAGAATTGAGCTGGAAGTGTATTTTCAGCATTGTCAGGCATAGTTTGAATGTAAAATTACGGCCAAGTTAGGGCAGTAATGGTAGGAGCAGACAGAGTGAATTCAAAGGACATTTCTGAAAAACAGTTGAGCAGTCTTTGTTTTTAAACTTTTATTTCTGAAACAGTGCTGGGGTGGATATCTTTGTTTACAAATTTTTATTCACTTGTGTAAGTTTCTCCAGAGCAGCAGTTCTCAAAGTTTTTTTTATCTCAGGACTCCTTACTCTTTTAAGAATTATTGAGCTTTTTATTTTTGTGGATTATATCTACAGATATATACTGTATTCAAAAGTAAAACAAATTTTAAATATTATTTTGTAAGTCAGACAAAGCCAAATACCATATAATGTCACTTATATAGGGAATCTTTAAAAACAAAACAATCTCATAGGCACAGATAACAGATTGTTGGTTGTCAGAGATGGGAAAAGGGGAATGGGTGAAGGTGGTTAAAGGTATAAACTTCCAGTTATAAAATAAGTGAGTCCTGGGGATGTAATGTGCAGCATAGTAACTATAGTTAATGATACTGTATTGTATATTTGAAAGTTGCTAAGAGAGTAGATCTTAACAGTTCTCATCACAAGAAAAAAAAACTTGTAACTATGTGAGGTGATGGATATTAAGTAGACTTATTGTAGTGATCATTTCATAATATACACATAAATCATATTGTTCATATTAAATTAATGTAATGTTATACATCAATTATATCTCAGTTAAAAAAGAAAAACAAGAAATAATTAGAAAAAACATATATTATTTAATAACCGTATAACAATAGTAAACCCATTACATTTTACCTAAATGACATATTTTGTATGACAAATAACTTTTCCAAAGTAACAAAATTAGTGAAAAGAATGGTATTGTATTATATTATTGCAAGTCTCTTCCTAAATGTCTGACTTAATAGAAGACAACTGGGTTCTCACATCTTCTGCATTCAGTCTATTGTGATATATTGATTCAATATTTTGATTGAAGTATATGAAAAAAATTCTTCACACAGAGTATTGGAGATATGAAAAAGAATGAGTAAAAAGAATGAGTATTTTAATAACCTTTTCAGGTAATTGTGGATATTATGTATCTCAAATCATATTAATGAACTTTTGATACTGTTAGATTAAAATCCATTGGTCTATCTTGTTTTTTTGTTGTTAATCTTCACCTGAGGATATTTTTTCCCTTGAATTTTTTTTTTTTTTTTTTTTTTTTTTACCTAGAGTGGAAGGGAGGAAGGGAGAGAGAGAGCACGAGAAAGAGAGAGAAACATCGATATGAAAGAGATACATCGATTGGTTACCTCCTGCATGTTCCGCCGCTGGGGATCTAACCTGCAACCCAGGTACATGCCCTTGAACAGAAATTGAACCCTCAACCCTGCAGTGCACAGGCCAGTGCTCTAACCACTGATCCATGATGATGAGGGCAGTTCTAGTAGTTTTTTGGTGGAATCTGTAGGGTTCTCTATGCCCTTGATCGGAATCGAACCCATGACCCTTCAGTCTGCAGGCCGATGCCCATTCCACTGAGCCAAACAGGCTAGAACCTATTTGTATCTCTTTTATTTATTTTTCTTGACTTATTGCAGGAGCTACATCTTCCAGTACTCTTTCCAATAAGAGTGGTGAAGGTTGACATCCTTGTCTCATTCTTCATATTAGGGGGAAAGCATCCAGTTTCCCATTATGAGGTGTGTTAGTTGTAGAATTTCTGTAGATGCACCTTATCGATTTGAGATAAGTCCCTTCTACTCCTAACTTGCTAAGAGTTGTTACCATGAATGGGTGTTGAATTTTGTCCAGTGTTTCTGCTTCAATTGATATGATCACATGAGTTTTCTCCTTTAGTCTATTGTTTTAGTGTATTACATTGATTGATTTTTAAATGTTTGACCATTCTTGCATTCCTAGAAAAATATCTAATTGTTTATGGTGTATATAATTCTTTCTGTACATTTTAAAATTTGGATTACTGATATTTTGTTGAGTTTTTTGAGTTCATGATAAATATTTGGTCTGCAGGGTTTGGGGAATGTTTTGTGATTTTTGTTTGTTTTGTTCCTTGGTACCATGTTGTCTGGTTTAGGCATCAGGATAATAACTGACTTAATAAAAATGAGTTGGGAAGTGTTACTTCTTCTATTTTCTAGAAGAGATTGCATAGAATTGGTGATAATTCTTTAAACGTTTGCTAGAATTCTTCAGTTAAAACCATCTGACCTTAGAGAACTATTTTTGCTAAAATAATGGACTATTCAGATAATCTATTTCATCTTGATTGAGTTTTAATGGATTGTGGTTTTTGAAGCATTGGTCCATTCTAAATTGTCAAATGTAGTTATATTTTGTATTGATTTTTTTTTTTAAGAGAGGGAGGAGAGGAGAGAGAGAGAAACATGGATATGAGAGCAGAACATTGATTTGCTGCCTCCTGCACACCCCCTACCTGGGATCAAGCCAGGCATGTGTCCTGACCGGGAATCGAACCAGCAACTGCAACTTTTTTGGTACAGTTGGGTGATGCCCAACCAACTGAGCACACTGGTCAGGGCTAAATCGTCAAATTTATAAGAGTAAAGTTCATAATCACTTCCTTGTTATTCTTTTTTTAAAAGGATATATTCTTTTAAAAAATATAGTGTATATTTTTTTTATTGATTTCAGAGGGAAGAAGGAAGAGGGAGAGAGAAATAAAAACATTAAGGATGAGAGAGAATCATTGATCAGCTGCCTCCTCCATGCCCCCCACTGAGGACAGAGCCTGAAACTAGGGTATGTGCCCTGACCAGGAATCGAACTGTGACCTCCTGGTTCATGGGTTGCCACTCAGCCACTGAGCCACATTGGCCAGGCCCTTGTTATTCTTTTAATGGCTGATTTATAGTGATAACCCTTATTTCATTCCTTTTATTGATGATTCATACTTTCTCTTTTTGTCAGTCTTGCTAGCATTGCATCAATTTTATTTTTCCAGAAAACCAGATTTTTGTTTCATTGATTCTCTCTATTGTTATTCTATTTTCAATGTCATTGATTTCTGATTTTATGATTATTTCTTTCCTTTTGCTTGCTTTGAGTTTATTTTGCTCTTCTTTTTCTCATACCTCAAGGGAGGGACTTAGATTATCGAGATCTTTCTCTGCTACAATGTAAATATTTACTTCTATAAATGTCCCTCTTTGTACTGCTTTAGCTTAATTCTACATATTTTGGTATGTTCTCTTTTCATTCTTTTTTAAAAAAATTTTCTTTGAGACTTTCTCTTTGACCCATATACTTAAATTCTGTCGTTCAATTTTTATGTGTTTGAGAAGTCCAATTAATTTCTAGTTTCATTCTATTATGATTGGAGAACATGCTTTATTATTTCAACTTTGGTAGGGTTCTTGAGGTTTGTTTTAGGCCCATGTGGTCTATCTTGGTGAATGTTCTATGTGTTAATGAAATGTATATTCTCTTGCTTTTAGGTGGCATGTTCTATATATACCAATTAAATCCTGTTGATTGTATTCAGACTTTTTGTATTCTTGCTGATTTTCTTTCAAATAGTTTTGTTAGTTGATGAGAGGGGCTTGAAGTCCCCAACTATAATTGTGTTTATTTGTCTATTTCTCCTTGCAGCTCTATCAGTTCTTCTTGATGTTTTGGAAGGTCTTGTTGGTACCTATACATTTAGGACAGTGGTTCTCAACCTTGGCTGCACATTAGAATTACCTGGGAATCTTTTTAAAATCCTGCGCCCCCTGGAAATTAATTTTTTTTTAATTTTAGTAGCAATTAAACAGAAAGATATATGTATTAATGTTTCTACCTTTTTCGTAAAATATAGTAAAGAAAGGTGTAAATTAGAAACATTGAAGTTTGAAATTATGAAACTATTTATTGAACTCAGAATAGAAAGGTAATACAAAAAAAGTTTTAGAGCAGTGGTTCCCCAAACTTATTTGGCCTACCGCCCCCCTTTCCCATAAAAAAATATTACTTCAGCGCCCCCCTGGAAATTAATTTTTTTTTTAATTTTAGTAGCAAATTAAACAGAAAGATATATGTATTAATGTTTCTACCTTTTTCGTAAAATATAGTAAAGAAAGGTGTAAATTAGAAACATTGAAGTTTGAAATTATGAAACTATTTATTGAACTCAGAATAGAAAGGTAATACAAAAAAAGTTAAAACAAATGCACCTGTGGCCATCACCGCCCCCCTGGATCGCTGCAGCGCCCACCAGGAGGCGGTAGCGCCCACTTTGGGAATCAGTGGTTTAGAGAATCAATCTTTCTATCATCATGTAATACTCCTCTTTGTCTCTAGTACTTTTCTTTGCTCTCAAGTCACTTGATTTGATATTAATATAGTCACTTTTAAATTTTTTAAAATACATTTTTATTGATTTTAGAGAGAGGAAAGTAGAGAGAGAGAAACATTGATGAGAGAGAAACATCAATCAGCTGCCTTCTGCATGCCCCCTACTGGGGATTGAGCCTGCAACCAGGGCATGTGCCCTGACTCGGAATTGAACCGTGACCTCCTGTTTCATGGGCCAAGGCTCAACCACTGAGCCACACTAGCTGGACGCCACTCTTACTTTTAAAAAATTAATGTTTGCATGGTATAACTTTTATAGTCCTTTTACTTTCAGTCTATGTCATTGAATTTGCAGTGAATTTCTTGTAAACAGCATATAGTTGGGGCCATGTTTGTCCACTCTGCCAATCTTTTTTTTGAATTGGTATATTTAGACCATTTACATTTGACAATTATTGATATGTTAGAGCCTAACTCTACCATTTTATTATGTTTTCTGTTTGTTTACTCTGATGTTGTTCCTCTTTCTTTTTCTTTGCCTTCCTGTGCATTGCTTGAAGAATTTTTTAGGATTCTGTCTTGATTTATTTTTAGTACATTTGAGTGTATTTGTATAGTTTTCATGATGGTTGCTCTGGCTATTACAATATACATGTGTGACTGATCGTAGTCTATTGGTATCAACATTTTGCCACTTTAAGTGACTTCACTTCCATTTAGGTCCCTTTACATTCTTGACTTTTAATTATCAAAGTCTTGAGTATCAGATGGTGTTTTAACTTTTGTTTCAATCATCAAGTAAATTTATAAACTTAAAAGTTGAAGCATAATTTATAGTATACAGTTGACCCTTGAACAACTCAAGTTTGAACTGTGTAGATCCACTTATATACAGACTTTTTTCAGTAAATATGTACAGTAGTATCAATGCACTTTCTCTTCCTTATGATTTTAATAACATTTTTTCTAGCTGATTTTATCATAAGAATATAGTATATAATACATATAACATACAAAATATGTGTTAATTGACTACTTATGTTATTAGTAAGATGTCCAGTAGGCTATTAGTTAAGTTTCGGGGGAGTTAAAAGTTACTTGCAGGTTTTCAACTGTCCAGGGGGTCGGTGCCTCTAACTCCCATGTTGTTCAAGGGTTAACTGTATACCAGAATTTCTGTTGTTTCTGTTGTTTGTTCTTCCTCCTTGATGCACCAAGATTTCTTATTATTTCCTTTCTACTTGAAGAATTTCCTTTGGCTACTCCTAATGGTATGTCTACTAGCAACAAATTCTTCTAGTTTTCATTTGTCTGAGAATGTCATTTCCCCTTCATTTCTGAAAGATAGTTTCACCAGATATAGAATTCATAGTTGATGATTCTTTTCTTTCAGCACTTAAAAAAAAAATGTTGTTCCTTCCTTCTGGCCTATATGATTTCAGACGCAAAATCTTCTGTCAGTCTAATTGGTTTTATATAGATAATGCATTGTTTTCTATGGCTACTTTAAAGATTTTTCTTTGTCTTTAGTTTTTGGAATTTCAACTATGGTGCATCTTGGAGTGGATTTTTTTTTTTTTTTAGTTTATCCTGTTAGGGCTCACTCAGCTTCTTGAATCTGTTGTGTGAATTTTACCAAATTTGGGAAGTTTTTAGACATTATTTCTTCAAATACTCTTTCAGCTCCACACTTTCTCCTTTCCTTCTGGGACTTCAATGAGACTCCTATCAAGAATTTTGATAAGAGTTTCTTGGATCTTTTGTTACTGTCCCACAGATCCCTGAGACTTAATTCATGTTTTTTTAGTCTGTTTTCTCTTTTTTTGTTCAGATTGGGTTTATTCTACTGAATTCTTCAAGTTCAGTGATTCTGTCCTCTGTCATCTCCACTCTACTGTTAAGCCCATCTATTAAGGTTTTAAAATTTTTTTCTGTTATATTACTTTTTAAGTTGAAAATATTTATTAAAGCTGATAGTTTAGGTCTCTAATTCATCTCTAATACTGAGCTGCTAATACAACACAATAGAGAATAACTTTAGCGTAATGTCTCTAACTTCCTAATGTCTAAACTTCTTAAAGTTTAATAAATCAGAAAAACACAAAGACCAGATCATCCATCCCTATAGAATTGTCTTTTCTGCTGAAAGCAATACTAGCAATAGCATACATGTGGACTAGCCTCCTCAACTGTGTAATTCAAACATTTCGTTTGAATTATATGCAAACTGCATAGGTTACCACAGCTCTTAAAACAACCCAAATAACACCAGCTAATTTCTTGTATTGAAGAGTATACCAATGATAATGAAATAAATATCACTATTATATCCCTTTTAATTTTTGATAGCTTCAGATTTTCTATTACTCACATATGTATATTTTGGTATAATACAATACCTTCCATAAGCTTCTAAAAACAGCTTGCAAACTCTATCCAACTTTGCTTTAAGCTAATAAAATTCTCCCCTTGTGCCTAGAAGATGTTAAATTATACATGTCTGTTAGCTGGAAAAGGCAGTGTCTAATCCTTATCATTCTTATTTCTGTAAAAGTAATGATTTTATTTTGATTACTTTTCCATAAGTCTGAAGAGACTCAGTAATCATCCCGAAGGAAGCTTTCCTTTTAAAACTTTCTATTGATTAAGATCTTTATGCAAATCATTAATTAGCATTTAGCCTAAGGTTACAACCCCAAACCCTTCTCGACCTCTACAGAACATATTCTACAAGGCTCCATATCAGACTGCTGAGGGAGAAGTATGACTTGTTGCTTTTATTCTAACAGAAAGTAAGTCACAGATCAAAAAGTTAGCTTAAATGCATGGATAATATTTGTTCTAGAACAGCAGTTCTCAATCTGTGGGTCGTGACCCCTTTGGGGGTCGAACGACCCTTTCACAGGGGTCGCCTAAGACCATCGGAAAACACATATATTGTTACATAGTGATTTTGTGATTAATCACTATGCTTTAATTTTGTTCAATTTGTAACAATGAAAATACATCCTGCATATCAGATATTTACATTACGATTCATAACCGTAGCAAAATTACAGTTATGAAGTAGCAACGAAAATAATTTTATGGTTGGGGGTCACCACAACATGAGGAACTGTATTAAAGGGTCGTGGCATTAGGACGGTTAAGAACCAGAAGGTATTTACTTGATGCTACCTTTGTTCTTTAGAACTCCAGTGGTAAACTTACTGACTTCCTGAGCTTCTACACACTCCCCTCCACAGTCATGCACCACCCTGCTCATAAGAGCCTCAAGGCTGCCTACTCCTTCTACAACATTCACACGGAGACGCCCCTGTTAGACCTCATGAATGATGCGCTCATTATAGCTAAATTGGTAAGCAATTCATTTATTTTTGTCCTGTGTTTTTCCAAATATGTGTGTGTAAGTATATAAAGCATCTTACTGTATTTTCTTTCACACAAGAGGAATTAATTTGAATGTTTGTTTATTACTTTTGACCATCGGTCAAAGGAAGAATTTTGATAAGTTTCTTGTAAAATTTCAGTGGCTATTTTCACCATTAATTCTATTGCAACTTAACCAAAAAGTCATTTTGTATAAAGTAAGATACTTTAAACATTTACATAAGAGTACATAAAACCCATAAGAAATATAAGATAAATACATGATCCCATGATATAAGGAAAATACATGAGTGTTTGTTTTATAGTGAATAATTAGCATCAATCAGTTTTTTTTATTTAAATAAATGGTCTCTGAATTTTAAAATGAAAGGGACTTTATTTTTAAAGGGGATTATTGTCAAAATTAAAGGACTTTAAAATGAAAGGAATTAAATTCAAAATATGCCTTATTATATTTATATATTTTTTTATTTCCTCAGTGTCATAGTTAGGACAATTTAAATTCTTGCTGCAAATAAACATTTTCCTTTAAAAAATAAATTAAAATCAGTAGACAGATACATTTTATACATTTTAAAGTAATTATTGAATATGAGAAAATATGAGAAGTTGGGAACAATACCTCAAAAGTGTCTTCCTTGCATTTACTAGTATTTGATCAATTTTTTAAAAAAACACATAAAACACCCATTACTAGTGGATCCCCAAATCAACATTATCCTGATTATTTCATCCTATTGCTCATTTTCAACTACTTCCCCAAAAGGCCAGTCATTAGTTATTTAATGTAAAAAGCCCTAAGACATAGAAATTTAGGTGCTTCATGTATATCACCTTTTGCATAGTACTATCTAACATTTTAAAGACATTAGATTTCTACTATTAAATTTTATAAAATTTATTTTCCATTATCAGCCCAAGACAAATATACTATTTAAAGTTTTTACAACTTTGGTTTCTTGGCTGTAACTTGAGCTAAGTCAGAACTTAGACCAGTAACAGTTTTGGAGATGGAGCCATCTAGGCATTTGTTCCTTCTAAAACAGGAACAGATATTTTCTGAACTTTTAATAGATTTTGTTATGTCACTGTTAGCCAGCATACTATATTTTAATTCAGCATTGCTGGATAGCTGACTTCATCAGATCCGCTGCTAGTTATATAAGACAAATTTACTGCTAGTTATATATAACTGAATTCTTAACCTATATCAGTGATGGCGAACCTATGACACACGTGTCAGAGGTGACACGCGAACTCATTTTTTTGGTTGATTTTTCTTTGTTAAATGGCATTTAAATATATAAAATAAATATCAGAAATATAAATCTTTGTTTTACTATGGTTGCAAATATCAAAAAATTTCTATATGTGACACGGCACCAGAGTTAAGTTAGGGTTTTTCAAAATGCTGACATGCCGAGCTCAAAAGGTTCGCCATCACTGACCTATATTATATATATTACAGACATTGAATCTTATTATAAGTGCATATTCATCTTATAGGAATTCAGTGTTATGCTGAAATACTTAATACAGAAAACACTCTAGTCTTTTGAAATTTTCAGTTTTCAATCCTTTTTACATTGGCAGAAAGGATTTGATGTATTCAATGCACTAGATTTGATGGAAAATAAGACATTCTTGGAAAAACTCAAGTTTGGAATAGGAGATGGCAATTTACAGTATTACTTGTACAATTGGAGGTGTCCAGGAACAGATTCTGAAAAGGTAAGAAAAGTTGATATATGCTTTATAAACTTAATATATTTATCTAGGAAATTCCATACTTCCCTTAGGATTATTAATTTTTTAGTAGCTTTTAAAAAACACAGGTCTATTGTACTACATTATAACTAGAGGCCCGATGCACAAAATTCGTGCAAGAGTAGGCCTACCTTCCCCCGGCTGCCGGCACTGGCTTCCCTCCAGCCGCTGGCAGGCACCCGGGATCCGGGCTTCCCTCGCAGTCCCAGCTTGGTCCGGAAGTTTGTCAAGGAAGGATGTTCAGTCTAATTAGCATATTACGCTTTTGTTCTCTCTTGCTTACCTGTCCTTACTATTCCATTTCTTCCCTTCCTTTAGGTTGGACTTGTATTACAATAGATGGATGTTTCCATTCCTAGAACTCTGATACCATCCATCATCATTTGTTAATATTCTATTTAATGATTCCTGGAACTGTCATTCCAAAGAATAAAAGCACAACCTAAGTGAAACCGATGCAGTCAGTAATAATTGGAAAAGATGAAAAAACATCCATATGTGACCAATACTACATACTAGCTAGAATGTTAACATTCTTCCTTTTTTCACTGTTTACCCATTTGAAGGAGGGATGAAAGAGTACAAAGAGCACATTCCTCTAATTTTCAAACTTTTGACCGTCTCTTGAAGGTATTTTTCCATTCTCTAGAAAGGGCCTTTTTTTTTTTATGGATGGAACAGAAGTCACAGACTTGTGTAAGAAAATCTTTGCTAATGTATGGAGATAAACTGCTGCATTTCTATTTATGAAGTGATGGTCTTTTTGTCTGTGTAACAGAATAAAGGATCCAATTGGGAAATTTTTCTTCCTATCATCTTCCATGCTATCATTGGAGACATTTCTGGAATCAGCATTTCCACAACTCCATGATGAGTGGTGGGTGTTTGTGTGTAGAGCAAGATAAAAATGTACTGGTGACTAGTACATTTATTTCTCCAGAAGCAAAGTTGTCAAATCAAGAAACACACAAATTTGTACTCTAATGTTCAACAGGTTGGTGGATGGGTTCAAAAGCAAAGTTTTGTGCAAACATGAAATGTGCTCTCTGAAAGAGTATGCACCATGACTAACTAGACTTTGCTGCTGCTGCACAAACTTGTTTCTTTTCAGGAACAGCAAGGATATGTGAGGAAAAGAAAATAAGTGCTAAAGTCAAAGGAACTGCCCAGTGGAATTTATTAGTGCTATCAGGATATTGATAGTTTGAATGTTTTTATTACTTATGCAAAATTGCACATATTCCTTAATGCTGACTTTAATTTATCATGAAAGCTGTCATGCTAATAGAAAATGTCTTATTTGTAAATAAGTATTCATACTTTTGTTACTGATGGTGTTTTTATCTAGAATTTGAAAAAACAAGTTTCACAGTGTACATATATATATATATATATATTGTCAATAGTCCAAGGAGAAAAAAGATGCTAAATGAGGCCATATAAACTGGCCTTGACTCATTCCACGAAGTAGTTACTTTTTTCTGCCTTCCCTCTTCCAGTGCCTAGGCTGTTCTGTCCAGAAAATTTTAATTATTTTAGACAACATGATGGCTTTTCCTTCATGTTATAAGTAGTCAAATGAAACCAGTCCTATCTTATACCAGGCAGGGGCTAACAAACTATAGCCCATCACCCTAATCCAGCCCATCACATGTTTTTGTACACCCTAAGCTAAAGATGGTATTTACATTTTTGAGTGGTTAGAGGAAAATAATAACATTTTGGGATACATGAAAATTGTATGAATTTCAAATTTCAGCATCCATAAAGTTTTATTGGAACACATACTCATTCACTTATATACTGCCTGTGGCTGCTTCATGCTACAAAAGACAGAGTTGATTTGTTTCAATAGAGGTTGTATGAACCAAAAAGTCTAACATATATGCTATCTGGCTTGAAAGAAAAATTGTTGATCCTGATTTACATTAAGAAGCTGAAAGCTACTTTCTGCAGCTTGCCATTAACCAACTGGCCAACCCAGGGCTTGTGGTATCCTTGAGACTACCGGTAGAGGGCGCGCGTGGGCCCCACAGTAGAGTGTACTCAGATAACTGTGTACTTTCTTGAAGACATAGACATAAGGGAAGAGTTCTTATTTAGGATAATTCAACCCAATGGTATTACTATTTTTCCTTAACAGAAGATGAAAACTTCAAGAAGCAAAACTGAACCAATTCACTGAAACTTTTTTGAGATACCAGAATTAAATGAGATTTTAACTTAATCTGAAGCCAAGGCACAGTTGGAAAATACATTCCATTCATTTTTATAGCACAAAGTTATACAAAGGGAGGTTTTCAAATAATTGCAGAATTGCCAGTCAGAAATTTTGTCACGGGCTAAAATTCCAATTTTATTGAAATCTTTTTTTTCTCATTTAAAAATAACTAGCACATTTGCCTCTATAATTTAAGCAAATTATCAATGAACATTTAAAAATAATCAGTAAAACTGCTGTGTTTAAGTAGCTATTAGAACTAAATTTCAGTGTAATATAGTGTTTTACATATTCAAAAACCTACATTTGTCCTGCATCCTTTGTCAATAATGAAAATACTCAATTTCTTAAGGGATTTTTTTTTTTGCCACGATAGTATTCAGTAAAATTTAAATGAGTGGAGGTGGCATAATTCATGCATCAAACAGAATTAAAGCTGAAAATAAACTCTGGCCACTCTTCCCCTTAAATTAGAAAAAGTTACTTTTTCAAGCACACACTGTAGGTAGCAGACACTGTCATAACCAGAGTACTGATTATGCTCCATTTCCTAACATGAAGGATGCCCATCATTGTACAGACTCACCTCTGAGAATCCAAGCTCCATTTTTTTATTTTCTTCCTGCCTCATTTCACCTAATTACCATCACACTTTTTATACATGTTAAATTTTCAAGGAAATGTTAACCATGTAAAGGGGTGAATTCTAACTAGTCAAAAGACCTTATCTGGCTTTTCCTAAAGGTGTCAAGCCTTTCTCCCAAGCCAATGCTTAGACCTACCCAAAGGAAGTAAAATAGAAGGAAGTAAAAACCTGATGTATTGTTTCTGAAGACAATGTATTGCTTAGCATTTAGTATCTTTCCTTTAAAACTGATGGCATATCTGCAGTCCAGTTTCATCTACTCTAATTTGAACCATGTGTACTGTGGTACATTTTCTAAGTTTGAGAGAAAGATGTTAAGTGCTGTAGGATACAGATGTTTTTGCTCACAAGCATTGTACCAACCTTTAAAAAGTGAATCTATACAAGCATGGACATTAGTGTCAATAAACTTTTGATATGCATACTTCTGAATATTTTCTGCATTTAGTGTTTTTAAGCTTCAGCATATCTGTGCTGTCTAAAAAGTCTTATGCATTTGAAAGGAACATTTACCAAACAATCTCCCACAAATCTATGTAAAAGTAATTCAGTTTATTAGCTTCAAGGTTTTTTACAAGGTGTCATTTTCCAATTGTATGTAGTGACAAGTTTATACATGACTACTTTGAAGTAATTTTTTTACTTTTGGGTGGTTTCCTTTTTTTATTAGGGTTTGGAATCAGTTTCTTTATTTTAAGGGGTTGTAGCACTGCAGCCTGCTGACCTTCAGTGAGCTTTCTCTTATGTTTAGAGAGGTCTTCAAAAGAAGTGTCCCAAATCTCTCTGTCTTGGCTTTCCAAAGATTCAGACTCTGAATTTTCCCTGGAGTCTTCAAGTCTGTCTTGAAGCCATGGTACATTTAAATTGGGTACTCTGGGGATTATAGCTTTCACTTCATTGACAAAGTCAGTGGTGTTCTTTTTGAATCCCAAAGCTAGTACACATTTTAAGCCAATGACAGGCGCAATTCTCTCACTGAGACGGGGAACCTGACAAGCAGGGACCGTTCTGCTTAAACTTAACTGAATCAGGTGTGAGGTGATGATCGCAGGCTTGACTGACTTACACACTAAAACCAAAAGCAGTTCGTTCCTTTCCAGAGCCCTGGTGACTTCATTAACGCCAATGGCAAGCTGCTTCCTCACATGGACAGAAGTCCACCCTGATACTTGTTCGTTATCGTCTGTTTTTTTCTCCTTCAGATCCTCACTCATATGAACATCTATGCTACATTTGTCTCTGCCTTGTTTTTTAAAAAACTGCTTTTTACTTCTTTTCTTATTCTCAATTTTCTCAAGTCCAATTGATTTAAATCTGTCTTCAAGGGTCTGTAAGATGAAGTGCAAATCCTCTCTCTCCAGAGCACTCCAGCAGATGGTATACGGGTTGTTCAATGATGTCTTTACAGTTAAAGGTCTTGTCTTCCGAACCGAGCCCCTCCCTGGTGCCTGAGGAGCTGCAGCCATTATAAAAATCCTTCACTGAGAAGCAAAACGACAAAGGACAATTGTTAACTAGCAGTGCATGTCTTAAGAATATCCTGGTTATACTTGTTCTGATTCTTTACAGGCTACAGCAGGCCTAATCATAGAGGACCAATTATGTGACCATACACTTGACCTCTCTTTTTAAGATTCAGTAATTTATTTTCCCCATTTTTTTTTCATGACTGTTTTTATTCATATATAGGCCATATATGAATGTTTTGCATTATTGCAATCACAGTGAAATTCTATTTATTTAGTTTATTAAAAATGTTTCATGTTGCCCTGACCCGTGTGGCTCAGTTGCTTGGGTATTGTCCCATGCACTAAAGGTTGCTGGTTTGATTTCCAGTAGGGGTTGTGGGATCGATTCCCAGTAGGGGGTGTGCAGGAGGCAGCCAATCAATGTTTCACTTTCACATGGATGTTTCTCTCTCTCCCTTCCTCAGTAAAAATCAATAAAAATATTATTTAAAAATAAATAAATAATTTTGTGTTAGCGGTTATCCTCTTAATGGCTGTATATTAATCTCATAGATTTGTTACCATTCTCTAAATTCCTCTCTAGTTAGGCTTCCATTCATCCATTCAACAAATATTCACTGAGCACCTCCAAATGTGCAGGCAGTGTCAGTGTTCTAGGCCCTGGCGTTCAGCATGAACAAGTCCCCACATCCACCCCTTGTTCACCTGCATGGAGCTCACAATCTGTGAGGGCCCTGGAAGCTTCTGCCATTAATGATTAACTATATGTGATTTTTTTAAAAAACTTAAATAGTAACATCTGCACATGATTAAAAATTCAAATGATACTTTCATTTTATGCCTCTTGTAAGTCCTCCTCCCTGGACTCTGAGTTTCCTATATATTCTTCCTAAAACATCTGATACACATACAGATGGACAGTCCCCCTTCCTACAGTTATTCCAAGCCAACTGCTCCTCCAGCTGGCAATTTGATGAAAACTAGCAAGATTTTGTAACGAAATTTAAAGATATTAATCCATTAGGAAAAAATAACCAGAAGGAGCCTTACTGGGAAAATGTTATAAAACACTGGTCTAGCCCAGCCGGTGTAGCCCAGTGGCTGAGCATCAACCCATACACCAAGAGGTCTCCTGTTCAGTCCCCAGCAGGGTCCTGTAAGAGGCAGCGGTCAATATTAATTTTTCTCTCTCACCAAGGTTTCTATCTCCCTCTGAAATCAAACAAAACAAAACAAAACCCACTAGTCTAGGGAGTATATCGTGTTTCTCCTTCCCAGAGACAACTGCATATTCCTTTCTCTTCACTCAGTTTTCTTCCTCACATTCTTTCTGGAGCTCAGGTAACAACCGTAGGGATCCACGTGGCAAAACTCAAGGAAGTTAAGCCAGCTGTGGAGACATCTGGAGGTTGGAACTACCCCTACTTTCAGGTTTCTCATTCCAGATATTCCCTCATTTATACCACTGAGCCTCCCCTCCCTGGAACACTCCAGGCAGGGTTAGGAATTAATCCTCTCCAACTGAACTCCTGCTTACTGGGCTGTCTACTGATGTTGACAAGCAAGTGTCTCTGTGGAATGTCAGAATTTATAAGGTACTTGCTCCATGTGTTGAGTCTCACAAATTTCCTGTATAATTGCCCAGCATGTGGACGAGGAAACAGACTCGGGTCAAACACCTTGCTTGAAGTCACAGCTGGTTTCCAAATCTAAATTTTATGCTCTCCCAATCCGGGCTGCACTTCAGAAATAATCTGTGGCCTTTAAAACATAGAGGTGGTTGGTCCTTACACTCGATCTACTCAATTGGAGTCAGAATAAGGCTGGTGCATCTGGACTGGGTGAATGTGATGCAGAACTGGAATTAGGAACCACAGGTGTAGGACAGGAGGCTTATCCACACTGTATAGCTCTAAAAATGGTCTCCTGACCTCTCCTGGTCTCCACAGATCTCATTCATATCAGTATCATGTCCACTGCTAGAGACTATCTGCAGTCTTCAAACCAGCCACATGCACAGCCCGCCCCTACGCCCATTCTCTACATACTCCACTCAAGCTCAGGGAACTGAGAAGTAGCTCATTCAAATCAAAGGCTGGTGGCAGGTTTAAGGTGGTCAGGAAGACAAGCAAGACAAAAATGATCTGCCCTAACCGGTTTGGCTCAATGGATAGATCATTGGCCTGTGGACTGAAAGGTCCCAGGTTCGATTCCGGTCAAGGGCATGTATCTTGGTTGTGGGCACATCCCCAGTAGGAGGTGTGCAGGAGGCGGCTAATCAATGTTTCTCTCTCATAGATGTTTCTAACTCTCTATCCCTCTCCCTTCCTCTCTCTAAAAAATCAATAAAATATATATTTTTTAAAAAGACAAAAATGATCTAACAGAGCTCTTGCCAAACTGCAAGTCAGTTAATGTATCAACATTCAAAGACAGAATAAATACTTAC